GAAGGGAACAGGGGGACACTGGTGAACATATAGCCCGCCCCACCTCCCTGCCTGCAGAGGAGGAAGCAGAGGACACAGCAGCTCACTCAAAGCAGTGCTGGGTCCTCAGCAGAGCAGAATTCACACCCATGTTTCCCCGCCTGTAGCCTCACTGGTTCAGGGCTGGGCCTCCAAGGAGGCCCACTTCATCACGGCTGTGGGTAGGACTCAAGGTCTAGGGCTGTGATACAGGCTGGTCTTCCAGGAGAGGCAGAGATTTGGGAAGGAGGCAGCATCCAGACCACCCTGGTGGAGTCAGCTCCCGAGGGGGATGGCAGTAAGCAGCCTAGGAATTCCTTCCACCGCTGACACCTCAGCCTGGGGAGGGGCCTCGGTCTGGCAGAGCTTCCTAGGGCCCAAGCCTCACATCTTTGCCTCTGCCTTTAGTTGCCCCATCCTCACTGCAAATCACCTCACAGCCCTGTCTGGGGGAACCTTTGGTGTCTCCTCCAGCTCTTTGGTTAGTGGCGTATGCGCGGTGCACTTCACAGCTAACAAAGCCCTTTGCAGAGGCCGCCTGAGCCCTCAGGTCGTGCTTCAAGGCCATGCTCTGTTTCCCGCTCTGTAGATAAAGACATGCTGTTCATGTCTTCATCTACAGCAAGGCGCCAGGGCTGTGCTGAACACTTGCCTCTCAGAACCATGCTGGCCCGTTCCAGTTTCCCTGAGCTGTGACTGAGCCCATGGCAGGGGCCAGGACACTGCCCCCCTCAAGGTTCCTGTGAATGAGGTGCAGGGCTTTGTAGGGCAGCCTAAACCACCACACCGTGAGTGCTGACCAGCCAGGCCATGCTGTTTATTGCAGCAAAAACTACTCCCAACCCAGAAAATGACAAGGTAGTGGAGATTTGGGAGAATCTGCTACCTCCTCTGTAGAGAAGGCTTTGAGACCCCAAAAAGGGGGGGGGATATAGAGAGGGACCCCTTATAAGCCAGGAAGTGGAAGCCTGCAGGAAGAGCTGGGTCAGGACACAGCTGAGGCACATGGAGGGCAGTGCTGCCTGGCACTCACCCATCCCCACATTGGCTGCCACAGGGTCCTTACTGTCCTTGCACCCACATGACTGTAGGAGGCTGCTGCACCCTGGCCTGGGAGTGAGGAGCAAAGGGTCAGGGTCCTGGAGGTCCCAGCAGTGACTAGTGGCTAGGTGGGCACAGGCCAGCCACTATGAGGAGCCAGAACACAGTCCTCATGCAGGCACAGAGACATAAAAGATCAGTGTCTTTAACAGGATCTCTCTGCCTCTGGCCTCCTACCTGCTGAGTGTCACAGATGGGGATGGTGACCCAGTGCAGGGGCCCAGACTCCTCCCACCTGTGGCTCTGCCATTGCTCAGTCACAGTCCTCACTCATGTGGCCCAAGATGACTCAACCATACATGGGCTCCAGACCCTGGGGAGAGGAAGGAGGGAGGGAGGGCACAGTGCTGCTCTATAAGGGAACCCGGCAGAAGGGGCCACTATCAGCCGAGGTTGTGATGTCTCTCTGACAGTGGGTTGGGAGCCCAGAGACCTGTAGGCTAAGCCCTGCTCCAACTGGCTGCAGAGATCTGAGCATGTCACCACCCGCCACTGGACTCTGTTTTCTCCTCTGCACCAAGAGTTCAGCCAAAATAACCCTTGGGGGTCTTGAGTGGAGGACTCTTAACTTACAACTCTTTGGGGGCAGATGGGAGAATGCCTTAGGAAGGGACAGATGGTTTGGGTTGCTAGGGCTCCCTGGCTGTGGCATGAGGCAGGGGGCTGACCATGGATATAGCCCTGGAACTTCCAAGCTTTCTTGGAAAAACATCTGTGGACCACCAGATAATACAGTAGGTAACTTTACTGAGTGCTTCCTGTATCCCAGGCACACAGCTCAGAGCTAACATTCGAGCAATTACTGAATGCTGGGCACTGTCCCGAGTGCTCTACAAATTCCACCTCACCTAACACTCATCTCCCTTGAGGTAGGGGCTATTGCTATTGCCATGGGCATAATGAACCTGTAAAACAAGAACAAGCTGCCATGAAAAAGGAGCACTCAGAAAACGAGAGATGATTCCTGGAAATGTAATACTTGATGGTATCCATGCAAACTCAATTCAAAGACTGAAGAGCAGAATGGACATACCCAAGGAGCCAAATAAAAATGACAGATGGGAATCATGGGAATATTCCACAGCCAAGGCCTCAGTGTCCATGGGAAAGTCATTGAGTTCCCGTTCACAAGACAGGTCCAAATCACCTCCCCAGCTCCAGCCTGTCCTCCCCAGCTGAATCTGGCTGGTGGGCATTGATGGGTGACAGGGAGTTAATGAGTCACTCTTGCCTGGTTAAAGTCCTCAAAGTTTAACACATGTTTTTCAGGCCAACCTTGGGCCCGAAGTTCCTATCCCCTTTCCCCAAGGTGCCTGTCCCGTAAGTCCAGCAGGCTGGGGTCACTGGCTGTCACTCAGCTCCAAGCTGTTCACAAGGAACCAAGGGTGGGCCATGGCTCAGCACATGAGGGGAAGCTTCACACACAAGGAGGAGCCTCAGAGGGAAATGAGATGGCACCATCCACCCAGCCCGATGCCAGGCACTTCCACACTGTCAGGACAACACCAGCCCAAGTAGAGTGAAGACAGAGCATGCAAATGTCCTGTCCTTGCACTGGGAAACTTTCAACCTCATCATTGATCAAAGAAACACAAATGCAAACATGATATTGTTTTAATCCTATTGACAGGGATATTCTAGAGTTATATCACTGTTGGAAAGAGGTTAAATAGGTACATTTCCAGAAAATAACCTTGCACGATATATAGAGGCCTGAGCCAGTAAGTCTATGTTCAGAAACTGATTCAAAGAAATTCGATTTGCAGCCAGATTTATGCACGGACTTATACATTCCAACATGACTTGCCATTGAGAAAAATTGGAAACTGGTTAATGACCAACAGAAGGAAAATTGGTCATAAACCATGTCCCGTGCACGCAATGGAATATCATTTAACTGTTTAGATCAGGTTTTTAACACTACTACATGAAAGTTAAAACTCTGTATAGTTGTCCTATCTAGGAATTATTCTAGATATGGTTATGCAAGGAAAATTTATTCATGGAAAAAATTAAAAAGAAATTAATAAGAAATATTTAAGTGAATGATTTTTCAAATATTTATGTTGAATAGTGGGATTACAAGTGCTCTTTCTTTTTAGTATTACATATGTTACTTTTTCAGATTTTTTACAATGAACATATTATAATTTTACTTTTATAACCAGAAAAAAAATATGGTTTGCTTTATGTTTGTTTTGTGTGTTATTTTGCAATAGTTTTTCTGTAAATTTACTCACTGACCAAAGTATCAGAATATACAGACAAGTATAAGAAGAAAAAGGTTATTGATAATCATATTATTGTTAATATTTTCTGGCTATATTACAAAAATGGGAACACATCGTACATACTATTTCAGAGGCTTTTTAAAAAATTATGGTTAAAGACATATTAAAAAATGTACCACCTTAACCATTTATAAGTGTACAGTAGAGTTAAGTATATTCACATTGTTGCACAACCAATCTCCAGAACATTTTCATCTTACAAAACTGAAACTCTGTCCCCATTAAACCAGTACCCATCTCTCCTCCCCCCAGCCCCTGGCAACCACCATTGTACTTTCTGTCTCTATGAATTTGACTGCTCTAGATACCCCATATAAGGGCAATCGTTCAGTATGTGTCCTTTTGTGTTTGGTTAATTTCACTTAGCGTACTGTCCACAAGGTTCACCCATATTGTAGCATGTGTCAGAATTTCTTTCCTTGTCACAGCTAAATCATATGCCACTGTACAGACCACATTTTGTTTATCCATTCACTCACTGAAGGAACACTTGGGTTGCTTCCGGAGCCTTTTTAAAACAGAACAATATATTGGTATATCATTTCTATATTTTTTCTATGGCAATAATGATACATTAGTATCAATCACTTTTAAAGGCTGCCCAGTGATCCATAGAGGTAGATGCTTCGTAATTGATTCAGCCAATCCACGCTTGAAGAACATGTATGTTATTTCCAGTTTTTTACTCTCATATGCAAAACTGCAATAAATGGTCCTGGGGTATATGTCTTTGTATGTTGGTCCTCCTATCTCTTAAAGAGAATTTCAAAGTGGGGTTTGTGCATCAAATGTTCTCGGGTTATTTGTGACCCTGTTGCCCTCTAAACCTTACATTCATACAGACCTCTGCATTTGTGGTTTGCGGTCCTCATGGTCCTTGTCACCACTGGGTGGCCTCACTTTATAAAAACTGACACTTCTTTCTGTCAATTTTTGTCAATATGACAGGTAAAAAGATGTCATTGTATTCATTTGCGTCTCCTTGATAATTGGTAAAGTGGAAGGTTAATTCATACTGTTGAAATATTAAACAGGCAGATGGGCTTTCCTTGTGTAGGGCCTGTTCAGGTCTGTGCTTCCTAGAGGAGTCTTGCCCATTTCCTTGCTGAGGTGCATGAACTGCTTGCATGGGAAAGACCCTCACACCCTGCCTGGATCTGTGGCCAGCAATTGTTTTGGAGTTGCAGAATTTGTTGTATTTCTATAGTTGTATTTCCAAATATAGTGATGGATTCTGCCTTTGGTGTCCTATTTAGAACCCCTCTGCTTCAAGGTTTTATGTGTATCTAGTCACATTATCACTGATGTCACATGGTCATGCTCACCTTCTGGGACTGTCATGGTTTAATGTTATCACCAACCGCTTTCATGCAGCTTTAATTTAGTCTGATGGCCATGTGCTAGGGTCAGATGTAAGATATGTCTAAAGCCATGGCCAGGCCAGCCCCAGTTGCCCGCCTTCCCTCAGCACCATCCCCACAATGTGTGAGACCTTTACACTGTCCCCACCTGCAAGAAAAGAAAGACCATCTGCCACCCAAGACTGAGCCTCTCTGCACAGACCTATCTGGAGGCCTTTGCTGTTTACAGAAGGACCCAGGAGAAGATACCAGGTGCGGGGGTCCTGTGGCTGGGATTCCAGGCACCACTGTTGTCCCTAGTAATGGAGGAGCCACCATGGGATGAGGGGCTCTATGCCTCCCCAACAGTCGGATCAGTGAGTATCTGCTCCCCCCATGCCCGGAGATGAATCATTAACAGTAATATCAAACTGCACCCAGTCGATTGCAAACCCACTGCCTCCTTCAGTCCTCACAAGAGGCTTTGCTGCTTGAGTTCTAGGGAAGAAGCTGAGAGAACCCAAGAACACAGAGGGATTTCAGTGACATAGCCACAGAGTGTAGAGGCAGGGCCAGGCTCTTGCAGCAGCTGCCACTGCACTTTCTGCTTCAGGGACAGCCGAGCCACGGCGGTCAGGTGGGAGGCTTGGTGGACCCTGCAAGCCGTCAGGGCTGCCTGGGGTCTGAGACTGAGGAGCCGGGCCAGGCACACCAGGGCAGAGGGCAGGCAAGGAGTTTGTAAGCCTGAGACCCAGGGACCCTCAGCTGTCCCTATCCATACCAGATCCTGGATCCCAGCCCCTAGCCCAGAGCCCAGAGCATGCACCTTCCTGGGGGGCTCTTCCCTGACATCCCCCTGTTCCTGGCTACAGACAGTTCTTACACTCATCCACCCAACAGGCATTTATTGAGTACCTACTGTATGACTGGTACTCTTCTGGTGACACAGCCGTTCCCCACAGAGGTGGGGGCCTACCTTCTGGGAGTTTGTACTCCAGTGTGGGATATACAAGGGGCTCTGTGCAGGGACTGGAGTAGTCCTGGTGGTTCTAAGCACTAGGATAGCTCTTTGTGGCAGCCCACGGCATCCCAGTCCATTCTGGGCCAGGCCCAAGGGCAGGGAGCACAGCACAGTCTTTGTCCTGGTGAACATTCCAACCAGACAAGCAGGGAGGCAGAGGGAAGCTGCTTCAGGTGGGCTGCGCAGGGAGGGCCTCTCCACAGAGGTGCTGCTGGAGCTGAGAAGGAGCCGTCTTGAGAGGAGCCAGGGAAGGGTGAGCCATGCGAAGGCAGGAGCTGGGGTGCGGAAGTGGCTGCACCCTGGAGGCTCTGCAGGATGCTGAGGCTGAGAACAGCAGATGTGGGAGATGACTGGGAGCTGTGGAAGCTTCGAGGAGGGCCGGGGGGTCCCAACAGGCAGGACACGCCCCACAGTGAGCAATCACTTGGCTCAATCCACACGTGTCTTCTGGCAATGCAAGCATCACACCATGGTTCTCGCAGGCTCCTGTGGTGGTGTGAGCCCTGGGGCACAGCTTCCTGCACCCTTCCATGCATCTCTGCCCTCCCTCCACAAAGTGGGGGTGCAGCCATGCAGCTAACCATCCTGACTCACGGAGGGGCAGCTACTGGCAACTCAAAAACACTATTGTAGAGCAGAGATTTTTGTTTGTATTCTCAGAGCAACAGGAATCTACTGACATGTTTAAGCAAGAGAGAGACTAGATCCGACTTCAGTTTTTTAAAAGATTGCTCTCCTGCCATGTGCAAAAGCACTGCTGGGCGCACCCAGGCACACCACGGTGTGGCTACAGTAGCCAAAAGGTGGAGGCACCTGAGTGTCCATCAATGGATGAAGAAGCCAAATGTGCTCTGTCCACACGGTGGAATGTGGTCAGCCTTAGAGAGGAAGGAAATTTGTCAACGCACAGCATGGATGAACCTTGAGGACACAGTGCTGACAGAAATAATCCAGGCACAGAAGGACAAGTCCTATGAGATTCCTCTTCTTGTGAGGTCCCTAGAGCAGTCAGGTTCACAGAGACGAAGAGTGGAATGGTAGTCACCAAGCTTTGGGGGAGTCTTGTGTTTAATGGGGACACTTACAGTTTTACAAGATGAAAAATTTCTGTGGATGGATGGTGGTAATGGTTGCACAACAATATGAATGTGCTTAATGCACTGAACTGTACACTCAAAAATGAGGAAGACAGTAATTTTATGTTATGTGTATTTTACCACAGTTTAAAATAAAACAAGGGCTGTTGGGATGTATCAGTCGGTGTCCCCTGAGGAGAGGCCAGCACACTACAGCAGGCCGAACAGAACAAATGTCATACCAGGGCTTGTGACAGAGGCAGGTAGGTTAGAAGGTGCAATTCCCAGAGCCCCAGGAGTGGAGGCTCCCACCCCACCCAGAGGCCTGGAGGAGCTGCGGGCAGGAGCTGTGGGCAAGGCAGATAGGTGGACGCACAGGAGCCACCCGACAGGCACTGCTGGAACCTCGTCCAGGCAGGGGAGGAGGCAGCCAGGTGCCCTGAGCTCTCTCTGCTGCCCCAACCCCAGCGTGCCTGTGCCTCCTATTGATGGAAACAAACCAGAAGTTGGTGTGTGCTGTCCTAGAGATCAGCCTCAGGACACTGTGGGGGCCAGGACAGGGCAGCCCAGGGAGATGAGCAGCACAGGAGACAGATGGGAGCCGAGGGAGTGGCGGCTCTACCGGGTGGTGGCCATGGAGATGCAAATGGCCTTGAGCACATATTTTGGAGACAGAACTTCAGGACTAGGTACACTGGACGTGGTTGAGAAACAGGTTTTGTTTTGCCTTTCTTTGGTAACTCTGGAAAGCAAAAGGTGCTAGAGAGAGGCAGGGTGGAGTGGGGGAGAGACCAGGTTTCAAGGTAGACAGGCCTGGAGCCAGGAGGCTCCGGCACAGACCCAGGGCGCAGGATGTTCACAGTATCTACCGCAGGAGGGCACAGGTGCCGCGGAGGGATGGGGCAGAGGTGCCCCCTGTTACTGGCCATGGGATGCCCAAAGGTCCCCAAGGAGGGCCAATGGCTATAGTTCCTGGGAGTTGGGGCATCCGGGGGGTTCAGGCAGTGCCCTTTGCCCAGGCTGGAATATTTTCCTGGCTGCTCCATCCATGCCAAGGGCCTCCTGGGTGTGTCACCAGAAGAGTGGGGAAGTCGTGCTCACATATTCTAAAGACAAGGGAAAGACTTTAGTGGTGGCCCATGGGGTTAGGCCACCACCTAGAGCCTACAGGAAAGAGGAAGACCTGGACACTCCTCTCTCCCTGCCCTGCCTGTTTTGGGAAGGCGCTCTGGGAAGGGCTGAGTCTGCACCTTGCACAGTCCGTACAGGTCACTGGTCAGGCCAGGGCTGTTTTCAGCTGCTCATTTAGAAAAGTGTAGTCAGAACTGTCAAGAAAATCAACGAAGACAAGAATAAAATAGAAAAGGAAAGGTAAGAACACAGCAGAGCTCTTCGTGGGTGCAAGGGAGGCGGTGTCCACTCTCCTTTCTTAGGACAGATAATGAATTTCTGAATTCTGGTTACAACCTTGTAGTGCCGTGAGAAGTTGCTGTGTTTGTGGGCAGAGGTCTTGGCTTCTCTTCACCATCTGTACCCAGCGCCCTACACCCATTCTCCTGACCTAGCCCCCCAGCCCTACCTGCGAGCTCTCCCTCTCCCTCTAGCTTTTGCCTCCCCTGGCTCAATGCATCATCCTACAGTGCCGAGTCCTGATGTGAGGACCAGAGGGGCAGAATCATGCTGAACCTCTAGCCCCTTTCCTTCTGCAATGCCAGGATGTGCCAGTAGCCCTGCACCAGCTCTGCCTCCTCCTGTCAGGCGGTCATCCGTGTGGGCCAGGCCCCCTACTCTGCTCGGGGTCACCAGCGGTTCTCTGGGCCTGCCTGAGAGCAGTCAGCCACCTTCCCCTACCAGCCTCAGGCCATCCTCATTCCTCAAGGCCTTGACCTCTTCAGCCACCTAGAAATGGGCCTTTATCTGGTCCGGGTCCTGGCTGGGGCTTTTGTTCCATGCCTCTGGCCACTTCTTGCAAAAGCAAATGTTTCTCATACAGCATTGGGCACTTTACCACTGTTGGAGAGGCCAGGAAAATTCAGAGGCTTGAAGGGCTAGAGCCTCAGAAGTCAGATGTGATCTGTGGTCTCTGCACTCGGAGTGCGACTCTTCCCATGCGATGACTTGAGAACATGTGACTGTATCAGATTCAGCTGGCAGATTGGCAGGAAGGTTAATAAGACAGTCTTGAGTTTCTGCCCAGACAGGCGGAGCCAGGGACCCAGGAATCTGCATTTGCAGGAGACACTCAGCTAATTCTGAAATTCCTAGTTCAGTGGATCATCGTGCAGAGTCAGGGTCATGTGCCAGCTATCGTCAGGTATTGGGCCATGTCCATGAACACTGTGAACCATGACTTCTGACTTCAGGAAGCTTGTATTCTGTGAGGGGAAGGTAGAAAGCAAGAGATAGACTCAGGCAGTAAGTGACAAGGAGTGTCAGAGGGAAAGATGAGAAGTGATCATGGACAGTGGTGGTGCTGGGGGTGTCAGGCTAGAGCCGTGGGCTGCAATGTGGAGCAGGCTGGTGAGAGCAGCCCTCACTGAGAAGGTGACTGAAGTCTTGGAGGTGGAGTACGGGGAGAGGAAGCAGGTCGTGCAAGGGTCCTGAGGCAGCCTGGTGTAACTGAGAGGCAGAAGGAGCTGGTGCGGCTGCAGTGGTACAGGGAGAGTGAAGAGAGGGTGAGGCCAGAGAGCCTGCGGGGGATGCAACGCTGAGTGAGTTTGAGCTGTTGGAGGGTTTTGAGCAGAGAGATGACGTGGTATGACATGTCTTCAGAGGATCCCTCCCTCTTGGCCCACCACGAACAGAATCTGGGTGTAGGGTCAGGGAGGATAAAGCAGAAGCCAGAGACCAGCTGGAGACTTTCTGTAACTGGGGCAAGGGCGTCTGAGACGAGTGGCAGCCACAAGGCGAATCTAACAGGATCCTGCCTGGGATGGACTGCTCAGCTGGGCCAAGTTCTATTCCAAGTGCTTCCCCAGTATTAACTCATTTAATGCTTGCCCAGCTCTGTAAGCAGGCACACTCATTGTCCTGTTTTATAGAGAAGGATATGGAGGCACAGAGAGGGTGAGTTACTCACCCTGGGCCACACAGCTAGAAGATGACAGAGCCAGGATTTGAATCAAGTAGTCTGTAGCCAGAGCCCAGGCTCTTAAAGAGCCACACTTTTCCAACAGAAAAGCACAAGCTGTAAGCTGAGGGAGGGTGTTTGTAGAGAAAAGGAAACACTGGGCCCTGGATCTAGGAGGGGCCATCAGAGGGACAAGAGGTCCACTCCAGTCTGACTTTGGGTGGTCCCGACTGTACCTCTCCTGGCAGTATGGGCTCCGGCAGGTCCCTGGGCCTCCCCATGCCTCCATTTCAGCTTGTGGGAGTTGGGGCCATGACGAGGCTGCCTGGCAGGGGCAGCGGGGGCAAGGGACAGGCTGGGCATCACGGGCTCAGGAAGGTGCCTTAGCCCGGCCATTCCCCCAGTAAGGGCCAGAGGTGGCCTGACTGAGCAAGAGAGGCAGGGCTGGGGATGGAACGGCCTGGCAGGGGCTGGGGAGCCCTGGGCCCCAGGGCCAGGAGGAGCCATGACAGGCAGGAGTGGCTGTGGCATTGGAGCTGCATCAAGGGTCTCCAGGGGGACAGTGGCCTCCTGGGAAGCAGAGGAAGCAGGGGTGGAGGCACCAGACACAGAGGCCTGCTCAAAGGCTGGCTGGCGTGTGGCCTTCCTGGGCCTGAACCTCTCTAGGCTCTGTTTCCTCATCTGTAGAATAGAGGAGCAAGATGCTGGCTCTGCCGGAAATCCTCCTGGTCTGGATGACATAGCTAGCAGGACATGGCCTCCTGCTGCAAACACCAGATGTGCTCTGCCAGCCGGGAACCTGCCCCTGTGGTGCTGTGAAATACGAAATCCGTCTGTTTTGCTCTTTTTCCCCGAGGGCTCTGGTCCCTCCGAGGCTGTAAATCTGAAGCTTGAATCTTTGAAAGTAACTTTTATTTTCTGCCAGGAAGCTTCTAGGGGTTGGCGTTTTCCTCTCAGATGTGTAACAATGCCCCAGCTGTGGCTGCTGCCGAGCTTTCATGTGCATTTTCCTCAGTTCAGAGGAGGGTGCTCTCTAACCCCAGCTGGCTTCTTCCCCCCGAATGTGGGATCTTAGCTGGTACATTTCAACCATGTGTTTTGCCCTAAAGGGAAGTCCTCTGCTAGCTATGTGGAGGGCCATCCTTCCCATGGTGCATCTGGAGTTCATCTCCCATGTTCACAAATCCATCAGTTTTCCCAGGGTTGTGGCTGAACTCTGTGGTTGTTTCTTTTCATCCTCCCTACCTACGTGCAATGGGTTTGAGGCCTACTTTTCTCTCACTGAGTAATGAGATCCATCATCTTCTGATACTTGCTCCTGACTCACTCAGCGCATGTCTTCCTGGCAGAGAAAGAAACATTTTCTCTTTGCTCTCATTGAGTCACTTCTCTGATAAACACCTGTGTGCCAGGCACTGTATCATGCCCTGAGGTATGCTTTTCCCAGGCGACTTCATTAGTGTTTGTGGCTTTTCTTCCACCTGTTGGGTAGTGACTTCCATGTTTCTGACTCCTGCTGGGATCTGCCCGCTGAATTCCAATCACGAATCCAGCCACCTGTCTGCTACCTCTATGTGGGTGTCTCTCAGGCACTCTCCCACCCTAGCAGCCTCACCCCTAATATTTGTGAAACCCAGGGCAAGGGTAAAATGGAGTCTACTGCCCTTCCCGTCCTGCCCTGGCTCCATTTAGAGCTACTAAGACCTCACTCACACATTTGCCGACACCCCAGGCTGAGTCCATGCTGTGTCCACATCGCCACCGCACCCCGCCAAACAGCACCCCTTGGCTTCTCCTGGGCCTAAGGGGGTGCAGACTCCAGCGTTGGGGATGAGTGGCAGAGGCTGGTGCAGGTCTTGAAGACAGGCTCCTAGTTGTCTGCACAGGGGACTCTGAAGTCCAGAAACCCGACTTTATCTCCAACACTCTCACCTCCTGACCCCATGCCTGATGCATGGCCTTCTCCTACAAATTCCCTTTCACCTCTTTCCTCCCCAGTGCCTCTGTCTTGGCTCCAGTCCTCTCCTCATCATCCAGACCACAGAGCAGTGGCGTCCATATGGACCGTTGTCCCCCCCGATTTGCTTGGATTTTTATAACGTTAATTAAGTTGTCATTCAGTGGTTTTCCATTGTTTGTGGAAACACACAGACTCCTCATCATGACCTCAACGGCCAGAAGGCCTTCTAAAGAGCTGCCATTGAAGGTGAAGTCTAAAAGCCAATGAAGAGCTGGCCGGTGGGCCTAATGCGGTGGCTCATACCTGTAATCCCAACACTTTGGGAGGCTGAGGCAGGTGAATCACCTGAGATTTGAGACCAGTCTGGCCAATATGGAAAAATTCCATCTCTACTAAAAATACAAAAATTAGCTGGAGGAGGTGGCGCATGCCTGTAATCCCAGCTACTTGGGAGGCTGAGGCAGGAGAATCACTTGAACCTGGGAGGTGGAGGTTGCGGTGAGCCAAGATTGCACCACTGTACTCCAGCCTGGGTGACAAGGCAAGTCTCTCTCTCTCTTTCTTTATCTCTCTCTCTCTCTCTCTCACACACACACACACACCCACAAACACACACACACACACACACAAGGCTGGCCTGGCAAGATCAGGGTGACTGAGGCTCTAGAAGGGAAGAAACAAGACTGACAGCCCAGCCATAGGGACCCTGTCACCACACCCATCCTCTTGCTCTGCTGCAGTCCCATGGGCCAGGGCAGATGCAGTTTGGCCTTAATTCTGTGCAGTTCCTCCTATGCAGACATGGAGTCTTCCATCCCCTTGGATCTGGGCTGGCCTGTGACTTGCTTTGGTGCATAGCTTGTGGCAAAAGCCATGTTGAACCTCTCTGAGATGCAGTCTGGCCAACATGGTGAAACACT